TTCGATTCGTCCTGGATGAACGAGCAGCTTGTGTTAAACGCGGGAAATACAATTACCCAACATTCACACTTACAAACCTTCTATGGTGAAAACTGAACATAACAAAATACATCGGATGAGATAGTAGTTCCACACTCGCGCTTCTAAATAGTATTTCGCGGCACCAAAAGGGCGGTGTACTTCGCGCATTGCGTGGGCCTTTCGTATACCTGGGAAACAGAGGTCGCTGGTGACATTCCAAGAAATGGTATACCGACTCGCAATTCACTTACAGAAACCGTCAATTCTGTGAGCCCTCTTTCTCTTGGTATTGTTCCCAGACCGGCAACAATTTGAGTAAAAACATACTCCGAGAGTTCTTCAGCTGTGGCGAATTCAATCGGCAAGATAATGCAATCATCTCTGAGCGACACTGCTATGATCGGAATGCAAGAGAGCTCTCCGAGCTTACTTGGGAAATAGAAACTCGTCTCCTTCATTCGTGGTGATCCGAACACTGGCCTGCTCTTTCCCAGTAGCCGTAACATGTAAATGGGTGGTATCAATGTCCAGAACTTCACTCCGCTCCGGGATTATCATGTGCTCGTTCAAACTTCTACAAACCGAGCGGAGGAGCTTCTGAGACGTGAACAACTACCGAAAATCACCACAGTTGTATGTATGCATATCAATATCGAACAAATGCTAGTTCACCATCCTCTAGGACACGGAGTTCCACATACCTTGAGGATGCCGAAATCGATAACATATCCATCATCCCCAGCAGGCCAGCTCTCACACGTCAAGCGGAGCTTCACCGTATAGTTGTGCCCGTGGAGTCGTTCTCGGAAGCCCCGGTGTCTGAGCGATTTACACCGTATGAGTGAAGCCGAGCTGTCCGTCGATTTAAAGGCTTATTTCGCCGCGAGTAGGATAGACTTCTCCCGAGTGGGGCAGCTATGCCACCCAAATATATACCAATGAATTTCGCAGTCGCATGTGGTAAGGAGATCAATTCCGCCGCACAACTCTTCCGAGTGGGGCAGCTATGCCACCCAAATATATACCAATGAATTTCGCAGTCGCACGTGGTAAGGAGAACAATTCCGCCGCACAACTCTTCCGAGTGGGGCAGCTATGCCACCCAAATATATGCCAATTAATT